CTGTGGCGGGGCGTCCCTCGTGCGGGCGGGGGTGCGGCGGTGCCGCGAACCCAAGGTCACCGTCCGGGTCCCCGTCGGCCCTCCGGCCTTTGGACGTCCGGAGTCTCTGTCCTCGGTGCGGGGAAATTAAGGGGGGCCGGCGGCTCGGGGCTGCCCGCCGCTTCCCCTGGGCGTCTGCGCCCGTGGGAATTGTACGCCCCCTAAAAGGGCGGGCTCCGGCTCTTCGGGAGCCTGGGGGGAGGGGATGCAGCCGAAACTGGCTCCTTAGGAAAAAAATGTAAGCACCGGGAATGCGATTTGTAAATGGCTCAAAGGCCACAGGAAGCCTCTGGGGTCATGACATTGCGCGTGGAGAGTGGAGAATGCGGGCCCGCGGACGCGGAAGGCTTCGCGCGTGAGACGGCGGCAATGCGGGGAAGGGGCGATGGCGGCGCGCGCAGCCCCCTCCTCTGGACCCAGGCGTCCCAAAGGCTCTTACACTTTACTGCTGGATTAAAAAAGCAGAAAGCTGGGTCCCATGCAAAGCCTTCGCTTCCCCATTGTCAGTGCTCTGGTGGAGAGAGTAGTCCAGGGCCAAAAAGAAAATTTAAAACCATCTTAATGTCAGAGTCGGTCTCTGCAGGTGGAGCGCCGTGGGAGGGGAGGGGATCGGACGCGGGCCACGGAGGGCGGTTTGCGGCAGCGAAGGGCCCGAGTCTCCACCCTGACCTTCGCCTTCCGCAGCCACTGGTCTGCGGGATTGAAAGTGCGGGACTTTCTCTCTTCATGGCAAATGGCTCATTTTGGCCTCAAGTCAAGTGGAAAGTGCACTGAAACATTCTTCAACGTTCTCCTTCACAAAAAGAGAGATCTGGAGAATTAAAGTTATTGATAGTTTAAAATGACCAAAAAAAAAAAGCCCTCCTTTTTGCCTTTTGGTATTAGTGGGTTCTTATTAAGGACACTATATTTAGGGAACTTTTTTTTTTTCTTTTTTCCTGGAAAAGCTTGAACAAAAACTATTGAAAAGATGTTAAATTTCAATGCTAAAAGCTCTGCCTTGGATGGGGCGCCATAGTCGTAGCTTAGAAGTAACCGTGAGCCGTCTTTTCAGCGACTTAAATATTTGGTTTGGTAGTAGGTTCCTGAATGATAGCCCTGGTGGTATTTAGCGCCCCTGCCCAGCCTAATCATGGCACCATTTTGCTACTTTTAAACTATTTGGTAAGGAGAAACCAGAAGTCCTTTGTCCCTGGTTGTAAAGATAAAATATCCTTGTTCTGTGTTTTGTTGCTATAGTAAAATCAGGTAAGGAGAGTCTTTAGATAGCCGTGGTGGCTTAAAAAAAAAATTGCAAGGGGTGATTTTCAGTTAGATACTTACTGAAATAATTATTTACTAGGATGACAACCTAAAGCAAAATATTAATAGTTCTTTGCAAGTTGAAATAAGGAAGATTTTTACTTCCTCCTCTTAACATGTATAAACAAAGAGAAATTCAGGCTGTAGAGTTTTTATAATGTTATTAAGACCTTCTATTCACATGTTTCAGACAGGATGGGTCCTTAACTCAAATTCTTTTAAAAATGTTGATCTCAACTCAGCAAGCTTATGACCCTTCGCAAAATTCCTGCCTTCCGACTTAATGACAGATCGGTCGAGAGGGTGTGGCGTGCTGCTTGTTCTAGCATGCCCGAAATAAAACTAAGGAAAAGAAGAGTGTCTAGATTTTGGTGGGCTAAATTTGTATCTTGGCTTTTGGTTTTTCTGACTCCCTTGTTTTTGGCCCTCTTAGTGATCCAGTAACCTCTAGCCTCAATCTTTCTTCTCAGTTATGCCAAAAGCAACTCCCAAGAGTGAGGTCTTCACCAGTAGTTCCCAGCTTTTACAAATCTGAGAATTTCTCTTGAAAGCCAAAAAATGTTGGCTGACGTCCACATAACAGTACTCGTATATTTCAAGTGTTTAAACACTGCATAACGGCAAAAAAAAAAAATTCAGATTTGTATTTTCTCATTACAGCAGAATCTACAAACATTGTAAGAATAGTAGTATACATATGGGCAAAATATTCTTTATTCAGTCTGCAGACAATGCATGGTCTGCTTATGGGCTTAATAACCCCTCGTGATAATTCCAGGGCCCTACTTCCCATAGCATTGGAATCATTCTTGGGTCTACCCAATGCAAGGTGAAGCTCAGGAACTTTGGTAGTTTGATCATTTGAGCCAAATACCCTCGCCCCACTTCATATTTGCCCGCCATTCCCTAAGAAATTGGGCAATGCTGACTGCAGTGTCTGCTTATTTCCTTAGGCTTATTAAAGCAAGGTACAGCTCTAAAGTTATCTGAATATTTGTTTAATTTTTTTAAAAAAAATATGTCTTTATTGATTTCAGAGAGAGGAAGGGAGGGGGGAGAGAGAGAGAGAAACGTCAATGATGAGTCATTGATCAGCTGCACCCTGCACACCCCCTACTGGGGATGAGCCTGCACCCCTGGGCATGTGCCCTGATTGGAAATGGAACCGCAATCTCCCGGATCCTAGATGGATGCTCAACTGCTGAGCCATGCCTGGCCAGGCTGTCAGTTTTCTGATTCAATAAAGATTGTGGAGACCTGGCCAGTGTTACAGTAAGGCAGGATTGAAACAGTCATGGTATTATCTTAAAACTATTGTCAAGATTAAAAGGAAGATGAATCTGTACCTATCTCTAGGTTGGCCAACCTTTTCCTGTTTTCCATGTAAATCACGTCATTGAAAAGGTAAGACAATAGGCCAGCTTTAAGAGAGATGTTGATCCGAACAAGGACCAGAATGTGTGCTTTTTTCTATATCCATGTTAGGTATGTCCTTTGGGCCAAATTTATATAGTCTGTCGGCAGGGAAAAAAAGTAAATCTTCCAGTGCAAGCCTGTAGTACTGAATGGAGAACTTTATACTAAAATGAAGGGCTGGCTTCTATTCCTTCTCTCTGGCTTTAGCTGAAGGATGTCACCTCATTGTTTCTTTTCTGTTGCACCCTCCAAGTAGGTAGGATGCTAATACCATGAACACCTCTCCCTGGCTATGAGTTAAGCATGTTTAAATTCTTGGATATATCTTTTATAAATTAGAAGGGATAGTAAAACATATTCAAGTAGAGTCATGATCTATGCAAATTAGGGTTTCTGGCAACAGCTCAAAAAATGTTGAGTGAATGGATAGGAGAAAAAGTGTTAAATATTCATAGCTAGTGGGTTTGGACCCAGCTAGAATTAACTAGTGTCCAGTGGAATTGTACCACCCATCAGCTACTTTATGCAAGCAGTGAATTTTTAACCAGTTTCCTTTTTTTTTAAACAAAGGAAGAAGACATCTTCTGCATGGAAAAATGACACTTTTAAGTACCAAGCCCATTGCTTGGGCGTATTCTATGATAACATTAGGGATTGAAATGCTAAATTCTTTCTTCAGCTTTTACTATGTGAAGTTTTTTTTGCATGTCTACAAGACTTCAGAAGTGGCCTTTTACCAAGCCCAGGTGAGATGGAGCTCCTTTGTCCCTTCAGCTAGGATGGTTTCTCTTCCTCACGGTGTACATTCTTGTGGTTCTCCAAAGAGCCTATCCTCACGCAGCTGAAAGATATTCTAAGGCAAGGTTATCCATGTCTCAGGTCCTCTGTGTGAGGGCAGAGAGAGATTTGTAAAGAATTGCCATTTAAAACAGAAAAGCTGTAGAGTTTAACGGGTAAGCTTTGGCTATCTGGAAAATTCTCTTATGTGCACAATTAGAATAATTGTTAAGATATTCTGTGCGGCCTGGCCAGTGTGGCCCAATGTTTGAGTGTTGACCCATGAACCAAGAGGTCCCCGGTTCAGTTCCCAGTCAGGGCACATGTCTGGGTTGCAGGCTTCATCACAAGGAGGATGTGTCTCATCAATTTTTCTGTCCCTCTCCCTTTCTCTCTGTGAAAAAAAAAAAAGATATTCTATGTCTTAGAAAGTCCCATGGTATTCACAAATTGTACTGTAACTCAGTTCATGGTCTTGGATAGCAACAATGATATTTTAACCTTTCTTAATGAAATTATGTGACACTGTGCCATGGTGTGTACACAGGCCACCGCTCTTTGCTGAGGCACGGCCTGTGTGCCTTGTGGGGAGGCCGTCTAGCATATGGAGTCTAGGTGCTTTCCATCCGCCTGGGCTCAGACCCGGCTCTGTCATTTATTAGCTAGGCAAGCTGCTTAACTTCTCTGGCCCTCAGTTTCATACTTTGTAAAGTAGGAATAATAACTATACCTGCTCCTTAGGATTGTTTTAAGGGTTTAATGAAATAATTCATATAAACTCTGGTACAGTGATGCCTAAACACAAAGTGAAGGTACACTGGCTTTTTGAGTGGTATTAGCAGTTATTGTTCACATGTCCGCAGGTGCCCCGTTAGTTCTTAGAGCAATGAGCTTTTTAAAATAATCACCTTTGGTTCCTTCACATTAAGTAAACATCCAGGGATCATTTTCATCAGTATGAACTACACTAAAATAATCCTGTGTTTTTTCCCTCCTAGATAATTTTAATGATCTGGAACGCTCTTAATGGCCTGACTGGGTATTTTCACAGTAACTCGAAGGCCGACTGCTGTTCCAGTCGTCACAGTTGTGTTTTGTATGGCACTGCTTTATATGCAATGGCCTTCCTGCTTCCTTGGTTCCCTTGGAAATACTATGATGAAGGTGACTGGCTCAGCGGACTTCACCTGGTGGTATCATTATGTGCTTTCGACAGCATGCTTACCTTTGTTCAGCAAGCCCAGTGTGCCCTATTTGTTGAGATTTTCACTGGACACGAAAGTCGGCTTCGGCTTATTAACATTAACCAAGTGGCTGTACTGGTGAGATCCACCAGCATCCTTTTCTGTGGCCTCGTCTCTGATAACATGGAAATTTTGCTAAATTTTCAGACCTTTGCGGTTGTCCTTGCCATCCTTGCCGCTGCCAGCCTTTACGCTGGCATGTACCACATGCGGTGCTTTGAACCCAAAAGAAGCCCCAAGGAAAACCTTTTCTCGGAAAGTGAACTGGATCCCCCCTGGACCTCTGTCGTCTCACAGATGGGACAAGTCCTGACCCAGAAAAACTTTTGCCTCTTTCTGATAATGAATTTCCTCCAAGTCTTTCATTTAACCTTCTTCAGTAACTTCATGATGATCTTCACAGAGGGTCTCATTCCCAAGGAGGTTCTTCCTTCTGCCGTGAGGAGTGTCATGTACGGGGCGGGCTTCATCTGCCCGCAGGTAAGTGATGCTTACTCTTGGAGCTCCCTGCAGGGAGGGAAGATTTAATGCTTACCTGCTAAGGAAATAAAGAACCTGACTATGTTGGGAGTTTGAAAAAAATGACACCATTTATTAAGAGAGTCAAAGATTCAGGGTCTCAGACATTATACAAGATTCAGCAGAAACATAATGGAAACAAGAGATGAAGGGGGGAAAGGAAGGAGAATCCAATGAGAGTGGAGCAACATGATATTTTAAACATTCGAGCTTTTGAAATTTGAACCCTGAGCTTTCTCATTTAAGCCTCAGCAGAGCTATGGAAGAAATAAGTGGCTTTCTGGGAGTGTGTAGCTTTGCTTTGCCCTGCATTTAAGGTTCTTACGACCCTTACAAGGAAGAAGAGTTACTCGGGAATTCTTAAAGCCAGGTTTCAGAATGCTTGGCGCAATGACTGAGTCCTGGAATTCCAGAGTGTTGTTAAAATTCCACGATCATTACCATCATTGTAGATGGCGTGCCCTCCTTAAAAAATCAGTCTAAATATGTCCCCCAAAACAGTGACTTAACCTGCCCATGATATGGGTTTTTCCTATTTTCATAATTAAGTGATAAGTAAAATTTGTTATGTATACTCTTTGGAATAAGTCTTTCTAGATAGACGAGTTTTTACTGTTTACTAACTTTCAAAAATATTTAAACCATGTGGGATAGAAATATTTCTAAAATATTTTAAGTGTTGCCACACTTTCTTAAGCAAAGTGTACAGGATAGAAATTGCCTTTCTGCCATTAGCTTGGCCCTTGATCGTAGTTTGGTTACCACATGTACCTCAGTAATGATGACACACATGTATTGGGTGCTTCCATGTGCCACGGACTGTGCAAGTGCATAGTACACATTACCTCACAGAATCTTCGAACCATCTTTGAGGGAAGGACTCCCCTCTCTCTCTCTCTCTTTTTTTTTTCCAATATATCTTTATTGACTTTTGAGAGAGGAAGGGAGAAGGGGAGAGAGAGTTGAAACATCAATGATGAGAGAGTCATTGATTGGCTGCCTCCTGCACGCCGCCTACTGGGGATCGAACCTGCAACCCAGGCATGTGCCCTGACCGGGAATCAAACCTCGATCTTCTGGATCCTAGGTTGATGCTCAACTGCTGAGCCACGCCCAGCCGGGCTTCTTGCTTCTTTCTTCTTTCTTTTTTCTTCTTTCTTCTTTCTTCTTTCTTATTCCTTCTTCTTCAAAATTTTATTTTTTATTATTTTTATTTTTATTTTATTTTTCTTTAATTTATCTTTATTGTTGAAAGTATTACAGTTGTCCCCTTTTTTCCCCCATTGATCCCCTCCACCCCACATCCACCCCAGACCCAGGCCTTCCCCATACCAATGTCTGTGTCCATAGGTTACCGATATAAGCATATAAGTTCTTTGATTAATTTCTCCTGCTCACTCCCCACCCCTGCCTTCCTTCTGAGATCCCTCAGTCTGTTCCATGCTTCTATGTCTCTGGATCTATTTTGTTTATCAGTTTATTTTGTTCATTAGATTCCACATATGAGTGAGATCATGTGATACCTGTCTTTCTCTGACTGGCTTATTTCTCTTAACATAATATTCTCCAGGTCCCTCCATGCTGTCCCAAAAGGTAAGAGATCCTTCTTTTTTACAGCTGCATAGTATTCCATGGTGTAAATGTTCCACGGCTTTTTTATCCGCTCACCTACTGATGGGCACTTGGGCTGTTTCCAGATCTTAGCTATTGTAAACTGCGCTATGAACATAGGGGTGCATATCACTTCACACCTGTCAGAATGGCTCCATCAACAAATCAGTGAACAACAAGTGCTGGCGAGGGTGTGGGGAAAGGGGAACCCTAGTGCACCGCTGGTGGGACTGCAGACTGGTGCAGCCACTATGGAAAGCAGTATGGAGCTTCCTCAAAAAATTAAAAATGGAACTGCCATTTGACCCAGTGATCCCACTTCTAGGAATGTATCCTAAGAATCCTGAAATACCAACCAGGAAGGACTCTTCCTTCTTATCCTTACAGATGAGAAAGGGAGGCTCTGGGCATCTGCCTCCAGAGCTGTGCACTTTAAGATTCTGTCTCTAAAGTACTGCTTACACAGCTTATTTCACAGAGTGTGCCAACTAGAATGTCATTTCTGGCTCAGCTGTATAGTCCCAGGTATGGTGTGTGTGTGTAAGAAAGTGATGCTCTCCCTTCAGGGAAGTTTGAGGTTTGTCAGGTTCTTTGCTTCTACTTTCAGTGACCCGGAATGGAAGCTGTTTGGGTTCCTGTCTCTGCTTGTTACTATCAGACTCCAGGCTAACCATGTCTTCCCACTTTTTAATCACATACTTCGGATAGTGTCTCCACTTCCCCAGGTTAAAAAAAGTTTGTTAAACTCATATATAAAATATTTTTAAAAGAGTAGATGGATTTTTTTGAACAGCTTCATTGAGATATAATTCACATATGCCACATGATTCACCCATTTAAAGTGTACAGTTCAGTGTTTTTAGTATATTTACAGATATGTGCAACCATCACCACAATTTTAAAACATTTTAATCACCTAAAAAAAAAAAGTACCACACCCTTTAGCTATTGTCCTGCTATTTCCCTGTCCTCCTTTCTGAGCCCTGAGCAACTTTCTATTCTTTGTAGAATTGCTACTTTCTCTCTTTACAGAATTCCCTATTCTGGACTTTAATATGAATGGAGTCATAGATATGTGGTCTTTGTGACTGGCTTCTTTCACTTAGCAGTGTCTTTAAGGTTCACACATGTTACATCATGTGTCAGTACCTTATTCTCTTTACAGTCGAATAATATTTCATTGTATACATTTTTGCTATCCATTCATCAGCTGATGAACATTTGGGTTGTTTCCACTTTCTGGATATTAAGGAATAATACTGCTGTGAACCTTAACATATAAGTTTTTAAAAAAAAAATAATTTGTTTATTTTTTTGTTTTTGTGTTATTTTAATCCTCATGGGAAGATACTTTTTCCATTGCTTTTCAGAGAGAGTGGAAAGGAGAGAGAAAAAGAGAGAGAGACATTGATGTAAGAGAGACACATTGATTGGTTGCCTCCTGCACGAGCCCTGACCAGGGCCGAGATCGAGCCTGCAACTGACATACGTGCCCTTGGCCAGAATTGAACCTGGGACCCTTCAGTCCACGGGCCAATTCTCTAACCACTGAGCCAAACCGGCTAGGGTAATTTAATTTTTTAAATCCTCACCCCAAGGATATGTTTATTGATTTTAGGCAGAGAAGAAGGGGCAGAGAGAGAGAGAGCGAGACAGATAGACAGAGAGAGACAATATGCCAATATGCTGCCTTCTGTATGTGCAACCTAGTGTATGTGCCCTGACCTAGAATCAAACCCTGCACACTTTTGGTTTATGGGATGACGTCCCAACCAACTGAGCCACATTAGCCAGGGCTTAACATACAAGGTTTTGGGTGGACATATATTTTTATTTCTTTTGAGTGGTAACTCTGTTTCACATTTTGAGACAGAATATTTTCCAAAGTAGCTGCACCGTTGTACGTTTCCAAAAATAGTGACAAAGGTTCCAGTTTCTCCAAATCTTTACCAACACTTGCTATTATCTGTCTTCTTTATTATAGCCATCCTCGAGTGTGAACAACATTCATGTGGTTTGATTTGCATGTCCTTGATGAATAATGATGTTGTTAAGCATCTTTTCATACACTATTGGCCATTTGTATCTGTTCTTTGAAGAAGTATCTATTCATGTCAGTTGCCCATTTTTTTTTAATATGTATATGTATTGATTTTAGAGAGAGCGGAAGGGAGAGGAATAGAGAGATGGAAACATCCATAAGAGAGAAACATCAATTGGCGGCCTCCTGCATGCCCCCTACTGGGGATCAAGCCTGAAACCCAGGCATGCACCCTGACTGGGAATTGAACTGGGAACGTCTTGGTTTATGGGTTGACACTCAACCACTGAGCCACACCGGCTGGGCTTTTTGCCCAGTTTTTAATTGGGTTATTTTAATTGTTCAGTTGTAATAGTTCTTTGTATATTTTTGATACAATTTGTTATCAGATATATTATTGGCAAATTTTTTTCTCCATTCTCTGGGTTGTCTTTTCACTTTTTTGATGAAACTGGGAAGTGTGAGCCCTACTGCTTTGTTCCTGCTTTTCAAGATTGTTTTGGATATTCCGGGTCCCTTGCGTTTCAGTGTGCATTTTAGAATTATCTTGTCAATATCTGCAGAGAGAGCAGCTGGGACACTGACAGGGACTGCCCTGAATCTGAACATCACTCGGGGTAATACTGCCATCTTAGCAATGTTAACATCGCGATCCATGACCATGAAATGTTTTCCTTCTATTTAGATCTTTTAAATTTTCTTTCAATAATGTTTTGTAGTTTCCACAGGATACTTTTTTCCTTTAGTTAAATTTATTTGTAAGTAGTTAAATAGGTTTTTAAGTAAAGACCTGAGGGGTCCTTGAGTAAAGTACATGAGCTTTCCTAAGTGCATGGATTTAGTGATCTGGTTGTGGTTCCCACTGATATTTTTTGCTTTTAGTTAGTAGCCATGTTCTAGATAGAGATCCCCAGATGCTTGTGTTCTGATGGAGTGAAGGGCTGCTGTGCTTCTGAACAAATCAAACTTCTATATTTATTTACTGTTTATTACAAAATAATATGTATTTGATATAACATTTCATATACCACTAAATAACTTAAATAAAAATTAGTATTCCCTTTTTATTCTTCCCATATTTACTTACTGAGGTTTTTAAAACTATGCACATAATTTTAAAAAATTTATCTTCATTGTTGAAAGATTTACAGATGTCCCCCTTTTTTCCCTCCACCCTGCAAACCCCACTCCAGGCCTTCACCACACTATTGTCTGTGTCCATGGGTTATGCATATATGCATGTAAGGTCTTAGGTTAATATCTCCCCACCCACTGACCCACCCCTGCCTTCCCTCTGAGATTCATCAGTCTGTTCCATGCTTCTATGTCTCTGAATCTATTTTGTTCATCAGTTTATTTTGTTCATTAGATTCCACATATGAGTAAGATCATGTGATACTTGTCTTTCTCTGACTGGCTTATTTCACTTAGCATAATACTCTCCAGGTCCCACCATGCT